TGCAAATTCAGAAATTGAGTTACGAATTTGAAATTTCGTATTGTGAATTTGGAAATCGTGTTGCGATTGCAGAAACTGAGTAGCGAATTTGGGAAAATCGCGTTGCGAATTTGGAAACTGTGTTGCGAAATTAGATTTCGCGTTACGAATTTGTTGGTTATTTTCACAAATCCAAAAAAATTAGTTAAAATCATATATATTATAAGATATTTTCAATTACTGAAATTATTTTCTCATAAATAAATACGCGGGAAAACTCTGTTGTATTTAAGGAATCAACTAAGAAAGGCGGGAGAATATTTAAAATCTAACCAACACGCGCGCGAACTTCAAAATAAAAAATCCACCAATTAGAAATCTAAATGGCCGCCTATTATAATCTAACAATTCACAGCCGTCCACTTGTTTATATACCTACACACGTAGACTCATTACTAAGATTTCCCTGTCTTTTAGAGATCTCCCTATAAACCTCGAACCAATCCCACTTCTTGGCGAAGATCTCTCAATATCGAGCTTTATTTTTCCTTTTATTTTCTTGGGTTTTATTGCTTTTGAGCAAACAATGAGTCTTTCGACTAAGCAGAGTGTTAATAGAGCTATGAATCCTTGGGTTCTTCATCTTCAAAAACTGGGTCTGGAGCTTAAATGTCCTCTCTGGTTTGTTTTCTCATATTCTGTGATTTGTTGTTTTGGTTTGTGTTTTTCGAATTTATTGTTATTTGAAGTGTAATCTTTTGCAGTTTGAATTTGTTTAAACGGCCATTGTTGATGCCGTGCGACCATCTGTTTTGCGAGTTAGTGCCATCTCTCTCCCCATCTTTATCTTCATTTCTGAAAGTTATGATTTCCATTGCTTAGTTTTCATGGTTTTTTATGATACTGTTGCAGTTCATGCATAGCCCGAACTGAGTTTGGATCAGAGTGCCCTATTTGCAAAGTCCAATGTGCAGATCGAGGTGCATTTCATTTTACTGCTGCTCTTTGATTTTTTTCCTAAAAAGTTATCGTGAGCTAAATAAGGTTGATATTCGGGTTATCTTATTTCTAAACCCTATTAATTTGGTGAGTTCGGTTTGAGTCAATTCATGGCATAAAATTTTGTGTTGATTTTGGTTGCATGTATTTGGAGATTCTCGTTTAGATTATTTTTATTTTTTTTAAATTTGAATTTATCATTTAATGTATTAATTTTAAAGCCAAATTAATGTAATTTTATTGGTAGTGTTAGGATCAACAACTATCTACTTTTCCATGACTATTTGAAAATTGGTTCTTTTTATGGCTGAAAAAAACTATGCTGGTTGCAGATCTAAGGCCTGTGACCTTCATGAAGAATATAATGGGAATCTATAGGAGTTTGGATGCAGCATTTACTGCAAATCTTTCACAATCTATTGAAGATGGTGTTGGCAAAACTGATAAATTTGATAAGTACAGCATGCGAAGGTATATTGCGGATAAAGGTTGTGAGATTCCTGACAAAGATGTGGTTACATTTGATAGTTATAAGAAAGTTGGTTTGCATGCTAATCAAGTGGATCAAGCATCTCTCAGCCCTCCTTCCAGTGGTGATACAAAGGCATCTGGCAATGACAGTGAACATGTAAGAGCTTGCCTTTCTTCCAATCATAATATGCTGTAGTTCAATGTTTTAAATTTCTTTATACTATATATGCTTGTGGTTGTATGATTGTAGATCAATGCTGGTTCTTTCTAGTTACTTCAGTTCCTATTAAACTGTCACTTGTCTGTTGTGTGTTTCCCCACATGGATTTTCACTATTTTTAGACTGCCCATGTTTATACAATTTTTTTGGAGCTTCTTATCATGTATATAATAGTGATTGGTTGTTAGAGTGTATTTTGTGGTATTTATTTACTGCCTGAATACATTTTTAGTTTAAAGTATCACTTGTTGACATGGATCTTGATGAATTTTCAGGGTCTTGGAAACTATTCATCCAAGGGAGCTGGCAAGAGAAATTTTGATGATATGACAAGTCAAAAGCAGGACAATTCTGTTTTAGGGATTGATGGTCATTCCTTGGATTCTAAGAGTCAAAAGAGGTTGAACTATGGACAATTAGATATGGTTGCCAAATCCATGGATCATTGTCAGCCAATTCAGAATGCTCACAATGTGGTGACTTCTGATTGTCAATTAGGATCTCAAAATGAACCATCCCTTGTTGTTTCAAATCTTCCTGTGACATCAGATAACCTGTGTGGAAGTACAGCCATTTGTGCATTTTGCCAGTCCTCTAGAATGTCTGAGGTAAATTCCTACTGAGCATTATATGGTTATTCTTTTTTGGTGTTTTTCTTTATAAGTTACTTGTGTTCTCAAAATTCTCAGGCCACTGGAATGATGCTACATTATCTCAATGGAAGACCAGTAACAGGAGATGCATCGTTCAGTTCAGATGTTATACATGTTCACAGCTCGTGTATTGAATGGTATTTTATTGAAAATTTTAATAGTATAATATTTAAGTAAAATGAAAAATGTTTTTTTTTTTGAGTTTGGGAATTTCAGTGAAACATGTTCATATATTGTCAGGTCATTTTTTATTTTGACACAGTATTTTTTTTTCTTTTTGTTGCTATATTGCTGCTAGAAATGCCCTGAAAATGTCTTAAAATGCAGGGCACCTCAAGTGTATTATGTTGGCGATTCTGTTAAGAATCTTAAGGCAGAACTTGCAAGGGGTGCAAAGTTGAAGTGCTGCAGATGTGGGCTAAAGGGGGCAGCACTTGGCTGTTATGTGAAGTTTTGCCGCAGAAGTTATCATTTCCCTTGTGCGAAAGAAATTCCAAAATGTCGATGGGACCATGTAATTGCCTTTATTAGATATGCTTTTCTTTTCTGACATTCTGACTTCCCCTTCCCTATGATTCATGTGTCAATTTTTGCTCATAATTTTCTCTCTCTCATAGGATGACTTTCTCGTGCTTTGTCCTGCCCACTATTCTGTCAAGTTTCCAAGTGAGAAGTCTAGAAATGCCCACTCTTCATCCAAGTTTCCAAGTGAGAAGTATAGAAATGCCCAATCTTCATCCAAGTTCTCGAATGAGAAGTCTGGAAATTGTGTGCCTGCTAATGATGTCATGCCAACTGAAAGGTTAATAATCAATGAAAATGTCTTGGATATCTTTCAGATGTATATACCTTATTTGCATGCTTATTGAAGGAGTTTCTATATCAATTCTTTTCTAGATTTTTCTAGTTATGGAGAAAGTCTTGAACAGGTTATTGAAATGTCTGGAGGGTGAACTGATTGTCGTTCTACATGCAGGGGCCAGATGAAATTCAACACATTTTGGGGCCATCCAGATAATAAAAAAGATTGGGTTTTTTGTGGATCTGCTTTGTCTCCTGAGGAGGTCAGATTGCATGAAACTCATTTTTTGTTGACCCATTTATAAGTTTTGAGTGATGGATGCTTTTTAAAAGGTTAAAAAGGTTAAGCTGATGATATTTTTTAAGCATTTTAAAAGCTAGAACTTTCATGATTGATCAAATGGATGCTTTCTATCTAATTTGGAGATTCTTTCATGATAGGATATCCTTAATAGCCCTTTTCTTTTCACAACAATTGACCCTCTTATGGTATTTATTAATTGTTTTCCCTTGATACAGTTCCTTTTGATCAAGTTTGCAAAAACGATTGGTGTAATTGTAACAAAGTTTTGGAGGTCGGATGTCACTCATGTAATTGCTTCTACAGATGGGAATGGTGCATGCACCAGAACACTCAAAGTTCTCATGGCCATTTCAAATGGGAAATGGGTTCTTAATGTAAATTGTAAGTTCAATTGAATTTTTCCTCACTCTATGTCCATGAGCTTCTTTTCTTTTCCTTTGTTAAATGTGTGCTGGTTAATATTCAATCACTAAGTTGTATTGTCACCACTGATATGTAAGCTCAATTTCACAGGAATAAAGGAATGCATGAAAGCTATGCATCCTTTGAATGAAGAACCTTATGAAGTAAGCCTCGACAACCATGGGTGTTAAAACCGGCAGATTCAGGGTATTGAATAATGTAAGTCTGTTCTCTTATGGGTTCAAACCTTCTAGTTTATTAAAGTTGGTAACGCTACCACTTTTGCAAGCTAGCACCTAGTTTCTCTTGCAGGCACCAAAGCTCTTTGATGGCTTCAACTTTTATTTTGTGGGTGACTTTGTGTCTGGTTATAAAGAGGATCTTCAAAATCTGGTTGCCACCGCAGGTGGTAATGTTCTGGGAAGAATGGAGGAACTAATTGACCATAATAATGGGGGTGATCGAACAGCTCAAGCAACGATGATGGTTGTGTATAATCTGGATGCACCTCAAGGTTCTGAGTTAGGAGAAGAAGTTTCTATTATCTGGCAGAGGGTTAGTGAAGCAGAAGATTTAGCCACAAGAGTAGGTGGACAAGTCATTGGTCACGCATGGCTTTTAAAATCAATTGCAGCATGTAAATTGCAGCCTTTTGTCTACAAATATTCATAATTTAGCTAGAAAAAGATAAATTCATTAAGTTTTGTTTGTCTTAGAAGTTAGAAATTGATTTAAAACCGTTTTCGTTGCATGTATGTGAATTGATATTTACATTTTGCATGATTGAAATGAATATCAATGTAGGTTTCACAAAAGGTATGGAAAAATTCATACATTTTCTTTTAAGATGGTATGTGAATTGATATTTATAAGTAGACGCGTGTTTTCCTTGTCTTCTATAAGCACGATAGTCTTCGGTGTATAAATTAGGGCCGAAGAACAAAAAATTAATTTAAATTAAATTATATAATTTAATTTTTTTAAGATTTAAATCCAACTCGATTAAAATATTAATTTTATAATTTAATCTATTATTTTTTCAATTTTTATTATAATACTCTCTTTTAACTACTTAAATCACTTCAAAATTTCATCCTCTTCAAACTTCAATTAAAGCACTAACGAGTAACGATGCTCTAGAGTTGCTTATAGAGACCATCTTTTCAAACCATACTTTTCTCCCAGTTCTAAAATGGGTTCACCCAGAAAATCCCTCTGTTTGCTCTATGTTTCTCTGTTATCAGTCATAATCTTTGGTGGGTCTCTTACTTCCTTCACAATAGCTGCAGATTTCACCAACTTGGTCTTCAAGGGCTGTGCAGACCAGAAATTTCAAGACGCACCAGGGGTTTACTCACAGAACCTCAGAAACCTCATGTCAACTCTGGTTTCACAGTCATCACAGAAACCATTCCCCAAGGCAAGCTCCGGCGAGGATCCGAATGCAATAATGGGGCTTTACCAATGCAAGGGAGACCTTACAACCAGCCAGTATTATACCTGTGTCAGTAAGATCCCAGAAATGATCGATAAGCTTTGTGGAAAAGCTGTTGCTGCTCGGATTCAGCTGAGCGGTTGTTATTCGAGGTACGAGATCGTTGAGTTCAAACAGGTTCCGGCGACTGAGTTTCTGTACAAGGTTTGCGGGTCATCGCGAGCGAGTGGAGCTGAGTTCGAGAGCAAGAGAGACGCCGCTTTCAACATGGCGGAGAATGGTGTGAAAAGTGATGGCGGGGACAACTTGTTTTACACCGGACAGTATCGACCGTTTTACGTTCTGGGGCAGTGCGAGGGTGATTTGAAAACGAGTGATTGTGGGGATTGTGTGAAAAGTGCTTTCGAGACTGCGAAGGAGGACTGTGGTGACTCGGTTTCAGGGCGGGTTTATCTGCAGGAGTGCTTCATTAGCTATAGCTACTATTCCGATGGAGTTCCGACCATATCCTCACCTTCAGGTAAAGAACAATAAATTATCATCCAGTTCCGACCATATCCTCACCTTCAGGTAAAGCACAAGAAATTATCATTTGCAATCTTGAATTCTCGGGCCAAGGCTCCATCTGGACCTCTAAGTTTTCGGTTTATACTCCAAAGATAAAGCTAGTGACATTAAACAATGATGTAGATCGTGGCTAATGAAAAAAGAGATTAGTCTCTTTGTAAGGAAGACAGGTGGATTTCCATTTCATTTCCTTGGGTTTTTGTGTTATATATTTTCACTTTATTTTCACCTGACTTTCAACCAAACACATTTATAAAATTGGATCGAATAAAAATTCATCGGATTTGAATATTTTGATAATCCCTTAATATAATAACAATGTTGTAGATGTCCCTTGTTTATTATTAACGGTCCTTTAATTTATGTTGGTAGCCTGGTTCCATTTTTTGTCTTGGAATCTTCACCTAATAAGCCAACCTACTTGCAAAATCAAATATGATGAGGTATAGTTTTTCAACTGGTGTAGGGACAGGGACGACGAGGCAAAGTACTCAGAGGACGGTGGCAATCGCTGTTGGAGGAGTGACCGCTTTGGGGTTCATTATCGTTTGTCTCATGTTTCCGAAATCAGTGTTGAAGAAACGAATAAGCAAGCATGCAGGTTATGTTACAATGTCTAAAACACTTACTCATCTCTCACAAGTTTCGATCATTAACTTTGTCGATGTTTGGAAATTATACAATTTCTCACATGATTATGTGCAGGGTATTGAGAAGATGAGCTTCGCGGTCTAAAATGTAGAAATTTCCATGGGACATGAATACTAACCATTTTAACTTGCAGGTTGTTCTTTCATATGTATATATACATTTTCAAGGTTATAACATATAAGCAAATGTTTTTAAATATTCTTATACTTGAAAGAATTGCAACTTCATAATTATGATCAAATATCTACTGAATACGAAAGTATAACGTGTACACTTTTACTGGACATGTTCCCTCATTGTGCATTTGCAGGCTGCTTAAGCGCTTGCCAGGGCTCCGGGAATGCTACCGATTTCGCTAGGCACTGCACATTCATCTCCGTCTTCCTCTGTTTCCCAGAGGAAACTAGCATAAGCTGCTTGAACATGGCTGTAACAACAGAAAAATCAAGTATACAGATAGGGAAACAACGATGAAGAGTGAAAGCAAATTATGATTACCAATCTTGAGGAGATGCTTGAACTGCACGTTCGAAGTAGCTTGAAGCTCTTTCTTCATTACGGTGTAGCTCCCACACTAACTTGGCGTATTGCGACAGGGTTTCACCGTCTTTCGGATCTGCTAGAATGGCTCGACTGTAATACTCTTCTGCTCCTTGAAGGTCTCTCTTTGACTGTTGAAAAATGCTCTCAATGATTACCATCTCAGAAAGAAAGAAAATGAAAAGGTGAATCAAGTGTAAACTAGTAATGGAACACTAACCTGATACAAAAACTGAGCATAATTCCTCAAAAATATTGCGTTCCCTGGATTTTCCTTCACCATTCTCTTGTAATACTCCTCGATTTCACCATCTCCATTAGAGCCTGCTGAGTTAAACTCACCTCCACCACCACCCCAACCACCACCACTCCTGTTACCACCATCCATTGCTGCCTCAACTCCTATAGGAAGAAACATTTCTACACCCACCAACCCTTTTTCATCAGTGACTTCAACCTTTTCATTCAACGACAGGTTCTCCAAGCTGATTGAGTTGAATCCATGGCTACTACCATTTAAAGCAGCCGTTACCTTTTCTTCATTTTCTTCCATCTCCTCTTCCTCTTCTCCTTCAAAATCACTCTCGTCTTCTTCCTCACGCCTTGCGCCTGAATTATAGAACGAAAAGGAAGGGATGGTTTGCAACATCAAGCACTTGTTTCTTGCAGGCAGCTTCTTGGGGTGGTTCTGATTGTAGAATTCATCATTGCCATTGCGAGCAGAATAGGCGAGTCCTTCCAAGTTCCCATCAGATTGCGCCCGGCGAAAACCTTTGAGTTCGAAATCCGAACTCTGGTCGACAACGGAAGGAGATATAGGAGAGGAACCACAAGAAGCTACAGTAGAGAGATGGACTGAGCCTGGAGAGGGATGAAATGAGAGTCTGTTGCCATGAAAGGAGCTTGATGGGTAGTGCCTGAAGGGGCTGCTGGTTTCATGGTAGTGATTGTTGTTGTTAGGACTATCAGCAGCTATGGAAGATACGAGTGATCCAAGAACCGGAGTTGAAGAACTTCTTAGCAGCATACCCCTGTTTTAGTTTTGAGAAAGAAAACAGCTTTTAATAAACGTTTGAGGGAAGAAATGCAAAAATATTGAGAATCAAAGTTGGTGTTATTATACCTTTTATAGGAAAGAGAAAGCATATAGGAAATGAACATGCAGCTTCTTGTTTGGTCCCCCTTGCCCCCAGAAAAAAAGAATTTTCTAGGATGTTTAAAATTATTTTTCATAAGAAAGTTTTAAAATCATTTGTGTGGTGGATATGGCTTTGGTTTGATCTTCATCCTGGGAGGAAAACATCAACTTGTCCTCTTTTCTTTGCAAGCCTTTGAAGCTGGTAAATTTTTCTAAAAAAAGTTTAATTTTAAATTTTATTTATCAAATTGAAAAATTAATCATTATTATGATTTGTTGGAATTTTTTTTATTAATATTCGATAGAATTACTTTGACCTTTATTCTTTTTTTCTTGAATATTTTGATCCTCGATATTTTATTTTAGAGTAAAAAAAATTCATATTTTGGAACGTTAATTAACTAACCGTTTCTATTTATAAGGGAGATTTTTACACCAAAATGAAACATTAATGAGTGGTAAAATGCCCTAAAAAAATAGGGTATAAAATGACCATGTTATAAACGTTAAGAATATTATATTTTTTTTATAAATAAGGTCATGGGTTCAATTATGATGTTTTGCATTGAGTAAATTATATGGAGAAAGTTATCTTACGATAAATATTTATAATATCTAATATGAATTAATTGATTAATATTTAAAAAAATTAATAAAATCCAGAAAAATAAAAGGAAATGACATGGGCATATGCGAGTCATGAGATTCCTGGCTAATTACTTGGCTTTGAAAATTCAGTGGTTATGCCAGGTTGGTATAAAAGCTAGACCAAAGAAACCAAAACCCAAGCTTGTGGCGTTCCATGTAATATGTGATGTAATTACCACGTTTTACAACGTTAGATACGTGGATTTTTAAGGTCTCCCCTACTCGGTTTCATCACCGTACACGTAAAACCTCATGTTTTGGAACATTCTGCTGTGGAACAGGACACACTAATCATGTTCTGCATTGCTTCAATAATGCACGCAATTGGACAATTTGAAGAGTTATGAATTTTGGACCTTCCCATTTCGTTATCGTATTGGAATCTTGCCTTTTTGCATCTTCAAATTGTTGCATTTTGTCAAGAAAGCATCAAACCCAAGTTATATTTTTTTTTATTCTTACAGAATAAGTTTATGCTCTTTAAATAATTAATATATATATATTTTTAAAGTGTTTATATTCTGTTTTAGCATCACGATTGATATATACTCTACAAAAAGTCATGGTGATTTATAAAATAAAAAATACGAAATGTGAGTATTTGTATACAAAATTTTTTTCTTTAAAGAAAAGTCGTTCAAAAGTAAGCATTGGGCCATCGACTCGTATAGTTATAATCAACCCATTGAGAATACAGAAAAAGTCAGAAGCCCAAATCTTTTTTTCATCCGGGTTACAAGCGAGTCGAGCTTAAGGATCACATCACAGCTGACTCCAAGCATCGCAAATTTCGTACACACAGCGTCACATTGAAAGAGATTAAAACGAAACCTACTTTGAAGGTAGAAGGGTTACGGGAACATCCATTTGTGGCGTTAGGAAGAAAGACATGTTGGCGAGAAGGTTGACTTCTTTCTTCAAAAGTTCTCCCTCTTCAAAGGTTTCCAGGTACATTTTCTTTTTTGTTTGCTTCAGTTCTTTCGTCATTCTTTCTTTTTTTGGAGTTAAAGTTTAAGCATATCCTTTTTGGGTTGAATTAACTATTACTGCTACCCATTCCCATACTCAGCTGATTTTTTGTTAGATATTGAAAGTTTAGGGTTTCCAAAACTGTAAAAAAAGGGATTTCAAGTTTGCCCAAGTTGCCTTTTAGGCTCAGTGTCAAATCCCAGACAGAGAATTAGAAATTCAATATGCAGATAGTTCCTTCTAAGTTGTCACATTAGTATTTTGTAATTATAAGTTGAGTTTGTGGTTCATGTATGCCGTAATGCTTTTATTTTTGGTGTGTTTTTAGGCTCCTCCAAAAGATAAATTGATAAGAGTTTACTTGTTTGATTGTATTATGCAGCTCTGGAAATTCTGTGAATGAGGAAACGAGCAAGTGGTTTGGTCGGAAAGCGGTGTCTTTTGTCTTGATTACTGTAACAGGTGGTGTAGCCTTGAGTGCTCTTGATGACCTTGCAATCTACCATGGTTGTACAAGGTATGTTCCACTGCATCTGACACACTACTATTGGATTTTATTAATTTAAGGTCTTTGCCTTTCCAAAGATTGCCAACAAGACTTGCGTTTGGCTGGGCATGAAACAATGGTGGTATTCATTTCAAAATGCCTTACAACGTAGGATGGACTTGGTGTGTCCAACATGTCACGCAGAATTTGTGTGGCAGGAAGTGTCAATGGTCCATGTGCAAAGTTAGTGTGTCCAACTTAGTGTGTCAAGTTTCCTTGGGTTCTTTTAGGACTCGGGGAATTATTCAAAGAAGGTTTAAGTGCTTGAATACCATACTATGTCTTGACTCTTGAATTAAGAGATTGGCTATCAAGTGCCTTAGAGATACTTGCATATTGTTTTATTCCTGTATTATTTATAACACGGGGGATACGAGAAATTGGTAGCTTTTTTATTCGTGTTATTGTCATACAGCTTCTTGTACTTGAGCCCCAGCAACATAGTTTTGGTGGGCATAAAATTTTGTCTCATTGAAATAAGAGAGAGAGATTTTATTGTCGTATTATTTCTATAGTCTAATGAAAATAACTACTTTATTCCCTTTTTCTATTAGTAGTAATAACAAGTCTTTTTCCTTGTAGGGTACCTTTTCCATTTTTCATCTCATTCTTCACTTTCCGTTTGTAATATATGCAACTTATCCTTACTGTTGGCCTATCAATTTTTCAGCAAGGCCATTGAGAAAGCCGGTAAGCATCAGGCAGTTATAGATGCTATTGGGGAACCGATTAAGAAGGGACCATGGTACAATGCTTCTCTTGCAGTTGCTCACAAGAGGCGTTCTGTATCTTGCACATTTCCCGTGTCTGGACCACAAGGCGATGGAGTATTACAATTGAAGGCAGTTCGTAATGGAGGTTAGTTTCATCTGATCATGTGCTTCTTCTTTTCTTTTACAAAAGTGTAACCTCCAAAATCAATCACCTTATCATTTGTCAGTTGGTATGCTTACTCAATTCTTGGTGGTAAGTTTTTTCGTAAATAGCTTCCCTGTGGAATTTGCACATTGTGTTTTAATGAACAATTGTAAATTTGTAATTTCTCAATCCATCTTCATTCCAAATCATTCATTAGGCAGTTGGCTTTGTTATACTCTCTTATTCTGAATCATTCATAAGCTGGATATGTATTTCTCTTTCTACCCGAAGCCATTCTGAAATGGGGTTCTTTTACAGATGATACTTGGTATTCTTATTTCCTTCCTCGAGACTGGGAAATCCTAATCATGGAAGCCCTTCTACATGTTCCTGGGAATGAAGAGAAGCACCGAGCATTACGAATTAGTCTCCTGGAAAACATCCCTTATCCAGCTCAGAGGGCATGCAGTGAATGCAGGCCTCAGAAATCTGAGAATGAAGAGAAGAAATGAGAACCCATACTCGAGAAAGTGGCAAAATTGTTCTTTCCTTTGGAGTTCGAATCCAACTCTTCTCATGTCAAAACTCCATATCTGATGTGTCCCTGCAGATGAATAAATTTTGTGAAATTTTGCTGTCTTCTGTAGCTTAAAATATGGTAAAAACACCAATTATAAATCTGGTTAATGGGCAGATAGGATTCAAATAACTTTCCTTGTTAAAATAAAACTTTCTTTCAGAGAGCCCGATTTGTTTGATGGAGTTTAAAGGGTGAATCCCTGTGATAATAAAAATTCATTGTTCAAACTTCAGAGTGTATCTGCAATTTTTATATCCCTTCTTCCAGTTATTGCATGTAAATGGTGAAATATTTTTTACTATATGTTTAGAGGTACAATGGATTTATCATCTTGCTTGACTCAGTCCCCGAAAAACGGAACTTTATTTGCAGGAGAGAGCCAGCTTGATATACTGTTGATATTCTGAACACTGAACCAGTGATTACAAGCTTTTAACAAATACAATGCTACATACAAAATAGAATATAGTTTTGGAAAGGGAAATGTTACTCTGTTCCTAGAACAGGCCATTTACGGGTGATGTGCTAAACACTGGCATGTCTTTGGTCGATGCATTTCCGCCATTGCTGCAACTACTGCTTTTCCTCCGAGGCTTTGCTTCACCAAGCATTGTAATCACGTCCCTCATCGATGGTCTGTCCTTGGGGTGCTTGGCTGTGCAGAGAAGTGCTATCCGAACAACTAAAAGCATCTCCTCTTGAATATGCTTACAGTTCCCTAAGTTACGATCTAATGCCTCTTCTAAAGCTTTGTTATCTCCAACCTTTCTCCTAATCCAGTCAACAATATTGACGGATTCTCCGAACTCTGAATCTAAAGGTCGTTTCCCTGTTAAAAGTTCGAGTAAAACCACCCCAAAACTGTAAATGTCGATCTTTTCATCTACCTTCAAGGTGTATCCATACTCTGTTACAGGATCATTAAGAAATGAATTAGGATTATCTATAAACAGGGAATCAAATCCATGGAAATGAGATGTCAAAACTGCAGACTTACCAGGAGCTATGTAGCCGTAAGACCCTGCAACCATCGAGACTGTTTCATTCTTTCTGACCATCATCCTTGCCAAACCGAAATCAGCAATTCTTGCCTCGAGATTTGCATCAAGCAGTATGTTTTTCGACTTGATGTCTCGATGTATAACAGGTGGATGACAATCATGGTGGAGATAAGCAAGCCCTTGTGCAACTCCAAGTGCTACGTTATACCTTGAAACCCAATCTACCATCAACCGACCGGCTTGTTTGCCATTCAAGGCATCCGCTAAACTACCATTTTGCATAAACTCATACACTATCATCGTACTAGTATCATTATGAAGGAATCCTAATAACCGAACTATGTTTCGATGCCTAAGTTTCCCTAGGAGATTCACCTCTCCGACGAAATCCCCACAGTTTCCAGATTCGACATCAGCTCCCGATCTCCACAACTTCTTTACTGCTACAACTGCATTTGACTGTGGCATCTCTGCCTTGTATACGACCCCGGTGGCTCCCATCCCAACCACGTTTGTTTCTTTGATACAGGCTAGGATGTCAGCAGCTGTGAAACCAAGTCTTTGGAATGCCATTAGTCTCCATGGCCATTCTCCCTTTCCTGCTTCATACCTTTCTACAAAGCAACCACCATTCGAGTACATCCTTTTATAGAGCAATCGCCCACTGATGAATAACATTCCAGTTGCTAGAACCAATGAAATCCCAATGAAACATTCGACAACAATATGCTTTGCTCGCAAGCTTCTTTGCCTTGATGAAGAAGTTGCTGAATATAAGTTACACGGAGGGAGAACACCACCACAGAGACCGCCATTGCCGACGAGGTCATTTGGATTGATTGTTCTTAGCACACCGTTTGCTGGAACCAGACCCTCTAGTTTGTTATATGAAACATTGAACATTTCTAAAGCTGGAGAGCTTCCGAAACTGTTATGTATCCCACCTGTTAGAGAGTTGTTAGACAAATCAACAACAGCCAAAGTGGGCATCATTGCAATTGATTCTGGAATTTCTCCGGTCAATCGGTTATTCCTCAGATTCAAAGTGACTAATTTCTCACACGAAGCAATGCTAGCTGGTATGCTTCCTGTGAAATGGTTTGTTGACAGATCAAGCACAGAAAGTGAAGGCCAATCCTGAAACTGATCTGGGATTTCACCAACCAAGTTATTGTTTGACGCGATGAATGTTTGCAGGCTTGGGATTGAAAGAATGGTAGATGGAAGGGAAGATTGAAGGTCATTACTAGAAAGATCAATAAAAGAAAGTGATGTAGAAGAAGTTATATCCTCCGGGATTTTCCCGGTGAGGCTGTTATTCGCCAATTCTAACCTCTGAAGCATCCCAAGTTTACCGAGTCCAACCGGAATTGTCCCGGATAGAAGATTGTTCTGCATTCGAACACGAACAAGCGACGAACAATTAGATAAGCTGATTGGCACCGGACCTGAGAAAGCATTGTTGAATAGAATGAGCTTGGTGAGAATGCCTCCATTGCACAAGGTTTCCGGTATTTCACCAGTGAACGAATTGGATGATACATCCAACCACAGCAATGGAGAATTCTTTCCAAGATTGACCGGAAGTGATCCTGACAGGGAATTGTTCCACAACTCAAGAACCTGCAATTGTGTCAAACCTCCGATTCCAGCAGGAACCGAGCCTGATAACTGATTGCACATTAAGTTCAAGAGCTGTAAGTTCTTAAGCTCGGAGAGCTCATCAGGGATTTCTCCAGATAACTCGTTATCAGATAAATCCAGCACCTGCAACGAAGTGATGTTTCCGATCGACCGGTGAATTTTTCCTTCCAAACTGTTCTGATACAAGAAAACTGTTTCAAGTAGCTTGAGTCTCCCTAGTTCAGCTGGAATCTCTCCACTAAGATTGCCCACAGCCAAATCAAGGTACTTTAGACTAGAAAGGTTACCGAACTCAACCGGTATACCGCCTTCGAATTCATTGTACCCCATAATTATAGTTTCCAGTGATGAAAGTTGCCCGAGTTCCCGCGGTATCTGGCCAGTGAGATTATTCCCTGAAAGGCCAAGAAATTTCAACTTATGCAAGTCCTTGAAAGACCTTGGAACTGAACCTTGGAAGAAATTTCCCCTCAGGTCTAAAGTCTCCAATGAAGTTACATTGCCGAGATCCTGAGGGAGCACACCTGTGAAACTATTGCTCGAAGCATTCAGCAATGTTAGCCCCGAAGCTCTTCCAAAACCAACAGGAAAGCTCCCATTGAATGAATTCTGGCTCACGTCAATGCTGTTGAGTAATGTGAGATTGGTTAGAGTTTTCGGCAAGGCCAACGACAGTTCGTTGCAGCACAAGTTGAGAGAACTAAGGCCTTTCAGCTGTCTGACATCGTCCGAAACTCGTCCGCTGAGATTCATATACGAGAGATCAAGCTTTTCAACTGCCCCATCAGAGTTGCACCGTACTCCAGTCCAGTTACAGTGAGCCGAGTCCCCGTTTTCCGGCAACTTCCAATCCCGAAGGCTGTTCAATGGATCAATGAGACCGGCCTTTATCGATAACAAAGCCGATACTTCATAGTTCGAGTTGGTTTTTTCACTGAAAGAACAAGAACCAATGCGGCAGCACAGGAAGAAGAAGAACAAAAAGTGGGTTCCAAGCTTCATATTGATCTTCTTGACTGGCATCTCAGTAGACCATTTTTGACATTGAAGAACTAGTAGTGTAGCAGGAACAAGCACGGTTACATGTATTTTTGAGCTTTGATGATAAAGTGATGGGGGAAAGAAGAAGACTGATTAATGTATAAGTTTCGGCATATAAATATTAAAGAAATGGGGATAATTAGTTTAACTATTGGAGAGCTCGTGAGATCTTGGGTTCTGGGACGGCTATTAATCCAAGTAACAACGGGGAGGCTTTTGGACTTTATTCGAAGTTTCTCCGACATTAAACATGGAAAAAAATGCGTTTATTCCATTTTTAAATCAAAGGTTTAATTATGATACCAATACTTTTGCTCTTTCAAATTTTAATATATAGTCTCTTTTACTTTTAATTATAGGGATCTAACCCTTCTACACCTAATTACATTCAAAATCAATTATATAATGACTTTTTAGATTGAGGACCAAAATGAAATCCGAATTTTAATGTTATACCAAGTATTTGACTTAAAGAGAAAAATAGTAACAAGAGTAGAAATCGATTTTTTATAAATCTGAGGTAAATACAAGGTAGTATCTATCGAAAGACTTTCAATCATTTGACAATGAATGTTCATACCCCTTCATATACGTGCTCAAACTCAAAATCTAAAAGGATAATAACAAATCTCTTAATCACTAAGATTGTTTGGTTCCTCCTAAAAATTGAATTTAAATATAAGGATATAAATGATAAATCACTTGGTCAACTTAAGAGATTAATGATTGGCATTTCATCTCTTATGCTTATTACCTGTCACCGCTGAGTACAATATGCAACTGTAAAGACAGCGCACGTTGAATGCATTATTGATGTAAACCACATTTCTCCCTGCTCATTTGAAGAATTTTACTCCCTTCAATTAAACAGAGTATTAAAGCACGATATATATAATAATAAAGAAGGGTGGTTATTTGTAAAAAAATCACTCAATTCTAATCTTTTATAAAAGAAAGACTATAGATACTAGAACATGAAGTCTAGGTTACTCCATGTAAAGGACTTCATAATGATACAATAAAAAATGAGAGACACTATTGACAATTGGGTCGATTACATAGACAAAAACAGCCTTAAACCTACTTAAATTAAAACCGTAAATAAATATTTAAAAGATAATTATATAAAGTAATTAAATTCAGTCCATATGCATATTAAGTGAGCACGTACATGATAATCTGAAGTAGAAAAAACAAGAAGTAAATGAAAAGGTGCATGTGGTTGAAATCATTTTCAGGTGAAGAAAGGGTAACTTCTAAGTATGACAAAAAAAATTTAGGAATTATTGATGAACACGTTGCTCTTCGTGGGAATTCCTACTTCCCATACTATAAAATAATACACTTGATAACCTCACTCTTTGTGTGTGTGATTAAGTACTGATTAAATCCAAATTATAGAGAAAATTAAAGAACTACATGTTCTAATAAATTAATTCGATGTGGGTGGGCTTTTGTTATTTGTTATGATTGAATTGGATGGAATCTTCCCATGTTATATGCCAACTAAATTGAGAAAGAAAGAGAGAGAAAATTAAAAATAAATATAATTTTAATTTTAGTTCTTATATTATACTTTTATGAAATGGAGTTATGAAATATTCTTTGATTTTAAAACTTTGGTGTTTTTCTAGTTTCTGTTCGATTTTATAGCTAAATGTTTATTTGGTTGTTATGAAAAAGATTAAATAATTTTTCATGTTCTTTGCATTTACATTTTTATCAAATTGATCCATAAAAAATTGTAAACGTTGATGATTAAAAATTATATTTTTAATTAATGATAATTTTTATTTATTTTTAAAGATTAAGAGTCAGTCTGATAAAAAAAGGAAAATTGCTTAGATTATGTAAGTGAGATTTTTTAATTCACAATATAATTCAAATTTAAGATTATTTCCCCATCTAGGGTGAAATGCACAATATCAATTTAAAAACGATCGGTGCTCCATGCGTCTTCAAGTTAAATATGAAGACTCCACGATTGTATATTCAGGCAAACAAAGAAGACCCTACGACTGCATGTCTTCTTCAGGCAAATAGAGAAAACCCCAAGAATGCACGTCGCCTTCGTACTAATAAAAAAAATCTTATTTCGGAAAATAATATGGTGAATATCTTATATGAAAAAATTATTTTTTTTCACAATTTTATAGGGGCGAGGAAGCAGATAAAAAATATAAACGTATAAAGATAAAAAAATAATAATAGTTTTGCTTTACTTATAGATGTCAAAATCAATAATTAATAATAAAATTAATTATAATTAGATAAGAAATCAATATTTTTAAATATAAAAATACAAAGACTCATTTTTTTTTTTAAATAAATATAAAGACTCATTCACAATATAATTCAAACTGAGGATTATTTCCTCATCTAGGGTAAAATGTACATTATCAATTTAAAGATGATCGGTGCTCCACGCGTCTTCAAGGTAAATATGAAGACTCCACGATTGCATGACGTATTCAGGCAAATAAAGAAGACCCTACGACTGCATGGCTTCTTCAGGTAAACAGATAAGACCCCAAGAATGCACGTCGCCTTCATACTAATAAAAAATCTTATTTCGGGAAATAATATGGTGAATATCTTATATGAAAAAAATTATTTTTTCTACAATCTTATAGGGGCGAGGAAGCGGATAAAAAATATAAACGTATAAAGATAAAAAAAAAATAGTTTTGCTTTACTTATAAATGTCAAATCAATAATTAATAATAAAATTAATTATAATTAGAGAAGAAATCAATATTTTTAAATATAAAAATACAAAGAGTCGTTTTTGTAAAAAAAGAAAAAGTATAAATACTAAATTTTAAGTTTTGAAGTAGTACATAAAGGCATAACAAGTACTCCATATTTAAACAAAAATAATAATGCTACATGAATTTCATTTTTTTTTATTTGAGATTCTTCCATACTTTATAGTTATGTAAAGTTTAATTATTTCGAGAGTCGATCGATTTGAATTAAATCCTTAAATAAGAGATAAAACACTCTTAAAATTATTATTTTTTAATTTATAAAACTTAATTTTATTATTTATCAAAGAACTTAATTTTATTAGAAACTAAATTATATAAATTAGTTGGAATACATCCATAGATATTATTTATTCATCATATGTTTTCATTTTATGAGGGAAAGTGATTTAAGAGAGATATGCATGTGGACAGATTTGTCGTATCCTTTTAGGAAAAAAGAAGCTCCTAATTGCACTATTAAACGAAAAGAATGTCATGCACATCATCAATCATGGTCCATCCACTACCATTTTTTCCTTTGGATAATAAATAATTATAAAGAACACAACTAATCTCCCACATGGTAACATGTGGACCGATTTATAAATATTTCATAAAAGGTGAAACGGTGCATTTTTCTATTCGAGAATACAAAAGTGGACGTGCTTGACATGTGGACCAATAAGTATATGATAATTTGGCTAGTAATACAAAAAATATAAGGTTGATATGATATGATTATAGGATGGGTCCGAATTTTAACAATCAAATATTATATTTTAAAGATAATATATTATTAAATATTTTTAAAATTTTATATGTTAAATAAGAGATTTTAGTAATACAAAAATATAAAGTTGATATGATATGATAATTTTATGAGAATATGAGTTTAAATGTATTGAAATATTTATTATTTTTTGATTTAAAATTTAAAAATCTAAATTATTTGATAGGCATTATATAAACATACATATATTTATTTATATTTATCTTTATTTATACACAAACAAACACTTCCTTTTATTTCCTGTTACCAGACAGAGAATGGGGAGTATGAAGTACAAACCACTCAAAACACCAAAGCTAAATAATGTTTATACACATAATTATCATATTCTGTTTAAAAAAGAATTAATGCATTTAATAATTTACATTATGTCTATATGTATACAATCGACATAGAAAAACGAAACAATGTTGAATCCAATCTCAAAATTAATAGTTGAGGATATAATTATTTTAGAAAAAGAAATTTAAAATATATGTAATCCGAATCAAATAATACTCGTTATGATAACATAGAAGAGAGCAACATAGTTAAGATAACCGGAACAAATACAAACAAAAAGATGCTACCAAAATCTATTGTGGAACCGGCTGGTCTTCCGGTAGATGATCCCGGAATCGAAGATCCATCGCCGAATTTAAGATCTCCGAAATAGAGACGCACACCTGGATTCTTCATTTTAATGTTACTCCCCAGCAGAACTGAACTGTTAGTGCCTTGAACGTTGCTGTTGGCATAAATGTTGATGCAGCAAAAGCCTTCGGGCTTGTTGGATGTGCCACGACGGACGAACATTGTGGCGCCGGCGTTGGTTCCGTCTATGTTGATGCGATCGGAAGAGCCTGAGCCGATTTCTGAGGCACTGCTGGTTGGTCTCGACATTGTTAGTTTTTTGGAATTGAGTCAAAAAGTATAATCACAGTTGATCTCAATGGTTTTTGCTTCTTTGCTTGCACACTGAATCGTTTGTTTGTTCTTTCAGATTTCCTCGACAGCAAGAAAAGTTAAATGTTCTATTAGAATGACTTAAACTACACTCTTTTCTTTTCTCATTTTAGAGGAAAATCCCAAATTAATTATGTATTCGTCGAATAGAACCAATATAAAATTATGATTTTTTATTATGTTTCAATTTGATATTTAGGCATGAATCAAACGATTTCGGTGCTAAAAGAATTGTTGTTATTCCTTCAGGTTTTAAGTTTGAGCATCATGAATGTAAGAGATGTGAGTGTTCAATATCAATGGTCAAGAGTTATTTTTAAATAGATATTGTCTTGTACTTACCCCAGATTAATAAAAAAATGATATTTAGATTTTGAACTTTAATTTAATATAATTTGATAATATTTTTTTAATAATTATTGGTGTTCAACAAATTGAATAATGCACAACTCTATAATAAGACAATTCTTCAAATTCAATTTATTCAATTCACAAAGTTAAGAAATAAAATTTGAACATTATTTAGGAGGACCGTACGTTTCATCCAATATGACTAATAAGTATTTCGTTGAACAAAATATCGACTTGTATTTAAGAAAAACACACAAATAAAAATCGTATCAATACTTTATTATTAAAATTGTTAATGGCACTATTTATGTTTGATTTATTGATTAGTTAATTTGGATCGAATTTTATAAAAAAATCTCATTATAAATACAACCCTCATAATATAATTTTCTCTTTTCGCAACCGCAAAATTTAAATCCTTAGTTTTTACTTAAAATCTATTACATTATTCTACTAAACCAACTAATAGTTGCATTAACTATTTGTGATGATATTATAAATCTTAAATTTGAGCATAGTAAAGAACCAAAATAATAATTTGACCTAAAATTTCAATTCTATCGAGGGTTCAAAAGCACAATTGCCTAGGCTAAAAGTTCAAAGACTTCAATTATAAGGGGCTAAAAATGAAGAAGCCCTAAATGAATTAAAACAGTGGCCCCAGTACATATTGAACCGCCATGCAAGCCCAAATAAAGAACAAGCGCGAGCCCGCTTGTTTCCATTTGCCAGCCGTTAAAACGCTTTGATTTTCCTGGGCTCAGAAACGAGAAATTTCGTGTTCATGCCGGCTGTACCACAGAACTATTAGCTATAATCATCTGTAAATTCAAAAGAATCTACGTTTCTGAATTCGAGCGAACATCAGAGGGGAGAAAATAAGATGGAAGACGAAGCAGAAATATACGACGGGATCAGAGCTCAGTTCCCTCTAACTTTTGGTAAGCAGCAGAAATCCCAAACCTCGCTTGAAGCCATTCACAACGCCACTCGCCGTTCCACCGCCGCCACCGCTGCTGCCGCTTCATCTCCCTCCGCCTCCAAGGATAGTCACAATAAAACCAATGAAGCACTCCCTTCTGTTTCCTCCTTTTCCAAAGCTTGGCTCGATTCCCTTCGCAATTCCAAATCTCCTAACCCTAACCCTAATGGCTCCGAAATTGGCCCGCCTCATCCGCCTCCTGGTCCAGTCCCTGATGAGGATGAGGATGATGACGTCATGGTAGGACCTCCTCCGCCTCCTCCTGGTTTAGGTGAGGATGACGATAACGATGCCATGATCGGGCCGCCACGTCCGCCGGTTGGGCCGAGTTCGGACTCAGACGGGGAGGAAGGGGAGGAGAACCGTTATCGAATTCCAATGAGCAATGAGATTAATCTCAAAGGACATACTAAGGTAATTCATCTAGTTCTGATTTCTCTAAAGGTAAAAAAATCCATTTAATCTGTAGTTACTAAAACAATTAAATCCTAACCATGTTTAATGCTTTCAGATTGTTTCAGCTCTTGCAATTGATCACTCTGGCTCTAGGGTTCTCTCGGGTAGTTATGACTATACAGTTCGAATGTTTGATTTCCAAGGAATGAATTCTCGTTTACAGTCATTTAGACAGCTTGAACCATTTGAAGGCCACCAAGTTCGTAATTTAAGTTGGAGTCCCACATCCGACCGGTTTTTATGTGTCACTGGGTCTGCTCAAGCTAAGGTTATTTCTTTTTAACTTGTTAGTATTTTTGGATGTTATAGTACTGAATGCTTAGTTGCTCACGATGGTATTCTGATTTTCAATTTAGATATATGACCGAGATGGACTTACTTTAGGTGAGTTTATAAAAGGGGATATGTATATTCGGGATTTAAAGAATACTAAGGGACATATAACGGGGTTGACTTGGGGAGAGTGGCATCCGAAAACCAAAGAGACAATTTTGACATCATCAGAAGATGGATCTCTTCGTATATGGGATGTGAATGACTTCAAAAGTCAAAAGCAGGTATGTATTTTTACATTGCTCTATTGAAAGGGCATTATGTACAGAAAATGCTTCAATTATTTATTATGTAGGTTATCAAACCAAAACTTGCAAGGCCTGGAAGAATTCCAGTTACAACATGTGCATGGGATCGTGAAGGAAAATGTATTGCTGGTGGAATTGGTGATGGTTCTATACAGGTACTTATTGCTGATGCTAAGCACTTGCTTTGTGTGGTTTTATTGCAAAACATCTTGGTGTTGTGTTACAGCTTCTGTTTTCTCCTTAATCACATGATTGCTTGAACTATTTTGCAGATATGGACCCTTAAGCCTGGATGGGGAAGCAGACCAGATATATACATCGAAAAAAGTCATTCTGATGATATCACGGGGCTTAAGTTTTCTAGTGATGGGAAAACTTTGTTGTCCAGAAGCTTTGATTGTTCGCTCAAGGTAATTTGCAAAGTGTTATCACAGATTAATGATGAAATCCCCTCTTCCCCAAACCCAGAAACCAAATAAATCATTTATAGAATCTCGATATTTGTTGTAAATTATGAATTATATGTCAGGTATGGGATTTACGCCAAATTAAAGCTCCACTTAAGGTGTTTGATGATCTTCCAAATAACTATGCCCAAACAAATATTGCATTTAGTCCTGATGAGCAGCTCTTTCTAACTGGAACATCCATTGAGAAGGAAAGTACCACTGGAGGCTTGTTGTGCTTTTATGATTTTTCAAAACTTGAACTTGTTCAAAGAGTTGGGATATCTCCATCTTGCAGTGTTGTGCAGTGTGCTTGGCACCCAAGATTAAATCAGGTAGATCATACTCTTTTCTCTTTGTGCATTATCCTATGCATACACATTCTGTTGCTTGCATGATCAAAAAGTATGAGCTGATAATAATAATATGAGACTAATATAATATTTTCTGTTGAAGATATTTGCAACATCAGGAGACAAAAGCCAAGGAGGGACTCATGTACTATATGATCCAACACTTAGTGAGAGAGGAGCTCTTGTTTGTGTTGCACGTGCACCTAGGAAGAAATCTGTTGATGATTTTGAGGCACCACTTGTTATTCACAATCCTCATGCACTACCATTATTTAGAGACCAACCAAGCCGTAAGCGTCAACGGGAGAAGATTCTGAAGGATCCTATCAAGTCACATAAACCTGAACTTCCAATAAACGGACCAGGACATGGTGGTAGGGTTGGTACAACCAAGGGAAGCTTGTTGACTCAGTACCTTCTTAAGGTAACGGTGTTTTTCCTCTCAAATAACTTGTCTTGTGTTCCTTAAAATTTTAGTGTTGTATAACTAAAGCCGTTGGAAGAGACTTACATGTTGCCTCTCATTGCAGCAAGGTGGAATGATCAAGGAAACATGGATGGAAGAAGATCCTAGAGAAGCTATACTTAAGTATGCTGATGTTGCAGCCAAAGACCCAAAGTTCATTGCTCCAGCGTATGCTCAAACTCAGCCAGAATCTGTTTTCGCAAAGTCAGATTCTGAGGATGAAGAGAAATGATCTGATTATGGTAGAATTTCATTCTCTACTTTTTAGTATTTCTCCTTTTCTAAATGATGATTACCAATGATTGATAGTTACACACAGGTTACTTTCTTACTGGCATGGTTGCAACTTTTGTGCTTTTTTGGCAGCTGCTCTGTATGATCTCTATGTTACCCACGTTAACATGGACACCTACAGAACTCATTGAACTGAACTGGCTATCTGGAAGGTGCAATTATTGTCATTTTGGCTGACACTTGTGTTGTTGGACTGGCTGTAATTTTTTATTTGCACGTCATCCTCAAAAAATGATAGATTCCTTTGCCCTACCAATTGTAGGAGTCAATATCAAAATTAATTTTGCATTTTTATCACAGTAGAATGAAGTCAATAGGTATATCGTATGACATGCTTTGTAGAAATATGCACAATCAAACCTATGATTTTTCCAATGTGAATAATAGATATTGATTACAAAAGCAAATGATTCTTGTGTGGACGTTTTTTTTTATGTATGTTGCTGGGTGGTCAACTGCTCATGGATGGTTGCTTAGCTAATTTTTTGCGGATTGTATGATTCATTATTTTTCTGTTCACACTTAATTTAAGCTTTCCATAAGTCGATAGTTCTCTTGAAATCACATAAAGAATTTACCATAGCTTATTTTCCCCTTTAATCATAGATGTATTGATAATTGTTTTTCTCATATGCCTATGCCAAACAGGGCATGACCAATACTGTTTAATTATTTGGCTCATCACTTTTTACTTATTTTTCGCAGGATGGATACCTTTACCTACTTCCATGGTGGATCATTGCAAAAGTTTAGGCTACTTCATTGAAGAGCATATACCCTCGTTAGTCCTTCAAGGTTGTAGTGGTTAGTTTAGCTGATAGAAGAACAGATGTAAATCCAGTCACATTCAGAGCTAAATACTGACCAAGAATTCAAGTTGATGTATAAACTGTTCGATTAAACTAATGACATTTACAAGGATTTGCAGGTAATAACAAATCTCTCTGATCTTCTAAGCATCACACCCCGTAAAATAGTAGGGAGGATAAAGTTGTTTGCAACCATTTTTTTCGATGGCATTTCCCAATTATTATTACATGTTACAAAATTCATTTTTATCGCAACCTTTTTCTGCACCTGAGTTCAATCGTATGGTTTGGCAGCCATGTCATTAGACATGGTATAGGGTCACTGCCTGTATAGTTTCAGATATCAACACTTTTCAGGCTATAGATTTCCTTCTTATAGCTGATGGAGTTTTTGCATCTGGGAAATTTCATCATCATACCTGTTGGTGTGGGTTTAAGTTAACGCTCATTCTCATACCTTGACAAACGAGAGTCTGATAGAACGGTGAACAATTGTGTGTCTACAAACAGCTGCAAACAACAAAACATAAATATTAGGTAATGGAATCTGTTCAATTACAAGTCTTGGCAATGACAAACAAAAGTAGAGAGATTACCTTAATAAATGGCTGATCAGCGACTGGAAAAGAGTCGATGAAGCTATCTTTAAGTAATATGGAAACCTGTTGGTTAATCAAACACGTAAAATGAAGCTGAGAAAACAAATGTCATTTCTGCAGTGATATGTTTTGGGAAACAAACTGGAAGAAGAACAAAGGTAAGTGCCAACCCTGTCATCGTTTGATTGTACATTAGTAATTGTATGAGACCTCAGATTTTCACAAAGGGACTCCAGGTATTCCCTCATGACTGCCAAAAACTGGGTCGCGGCTTCGGCCTGAAAATGTAGGACGGAAAGTTGGAAATTAGTTTCGGAATCCCTAGTGCTAATCAAGTTGACATATAGAAAATTAAGCATTTGGAAACACCTGTGCTTCATTGCACCTATATGTAGGATGCTTCTTAGCAATAGAACCTTCAAAGGAGAGTTTGGAATGTATCGGCCCTAGTTCTGATACAAGCGCTTTCCGTTGAGGAAGTTGGGGCACATAACACGTTTTCACCTGGAGAACAGCCGATAATACTCAGAGTTATCTACGGCAACCAAGTGACAGTCCATGCAGATAAACTGCATTGTGCTTTACAACAGTTTCTAACCAGACGTGCAAAAAACTATTTTCATACAAACACCTGTTTCTTGGGCAAGTTAACTTGAACAAGATTAGAAGTTGATTTCATTTTCAAATCAGCGGGTTTATCTTGTACGCCAACCTACAAAATGAGAGAAAGCAGATAAATCAGGGCATTTCCATTGATTCCGCTACACATGATAAACTCTATAACATTCTCTGCAGATTTATTTATATTTGTATGTTCATTCGTACCTAATAAAGGTACAGCACAATGCGCTTTAAGAAAGATTTTGGATTCAAATCTTGTGGAAAGAAAATAACATCGGGAGAACTTTCCTTTCATTTAGGTGTCCAATTCGGTTCGACTCTAGATATAGTTGGAGTCGATGTGAATACCGGGAGTTTTAGGTCAAAAATAAAATAAAGCAAGAGCTTTGACCTTTAAAAATGGCAACAACAAAAAAACTATTCTTTACTAAAGCACCAACTCACAAGGAATGGAACAGGTGCATCAAGAAAATCAAGCATCCTCATTGGCAGTACCTGAATGTAAAAAGAGAATTTTCACAAAATGAGACACGGCGGATGTTGTGGACCTAACTATAACAAAACTATAATATCATACATTAAAATATCAAAGCAAAAGTTCACCAAGATTTTTTTTTCCAAAGAGGGTCTCATAACTCCCAAGTGGTCTCTGAAAGCTAGGAAACTAGAACTATTACATAACAGATGTATATATATATATACACACACACACACATACATATATACATATATAAAGCTATATTTGTAAATTTTGAGCTACATCCAGAAAGATTCCAACTCTAGAATTTTAAATAAAGTGCAACAAGGATAGAGGTTATGGAGATTACTGGAAGCAATAAACTCTGCCATTCAAACGGACGAATGATAGGAACAAGCGATAACACGACAGCTGATAGAACACCCTGCATTGATGAAAATTAGTGTCACCGCCAGGATAGAGTTTACAGCTGCAACAAGAGAAACAACTAAGAGCAGAAGACACAGAAATGTAAATACAATTTCTTAACTGATTAACTTACCAGATTTGGGCAAACTACTACAACCTGTTTTTCCAGTAATACTCCTGCGACCACTGCCAAAATCTGGAAGAACCAATCATAAGGTCAAACGAAATCAACAAAAAACAACGCAGGAAATGCAAGTAGGAACTTCTGAGATATCACAGCTGTTATCTTGTCTGAAATGCATGCATGCATAGTTGATACTAGTCCAGCTTCTTTTACTTTGGATGCGATTTTTGCAGAATAAAGCATCAAAGTTTTGGGGGGGTGTGTATATATGTTCTTTCAAAATCTTAGGATAAGAAAACAGTTCAGTCTTGTTTCTTTGTTTTGCTGCTCAATCAATGAAATCCACGGAAACCAAGCAAAATGGAATGCACATGCATTATTCAGTGCATGATTTACTTGTATGTTAAATGCTTAAATGAAGACATGGGATGATAACATATCTGTCAGTATTGAATATAAATCCCAACAACAGAAGTGTTTCCTTGTTATTCGATTGTTATGCCCGAAAGTTCATTTAAGATGACTCTAGCATGCGTATGCCTACACTTATTTCCATTTGCAATTCAGATTCTGATGGTTATAAACACAGCTGAGTCAAACTGAGTAGGTATGCATCAAAGAACATTACACCATCAAGAGAGAGAACTCGGCAAATCGTTGCGGTTGTCCATTCTGAAAGCGCGAGAGCTTCCTCAGCTGCTGCCAGTTTTGCATCAATCTTTCACGAAGTTGAGTGACATCTAAGTAAATATATATGTTACGAAAGGAGCAATTGACTGAAAATAGCATTAACAAAGAAATACCTCATCTGCTTCAAATGAATAAAAATAGCTTTCATCCAACTTGAGGGCAGAAAGAGGAGGTCTCACATACTCAATAGCTTGTAAATGCTCAAGAGGCTGAAAAATGATTTCACTTCCTCGTTGAGGTAGAGCCAAAGCATGATAACCACAAACTATCTGTAGAAGATCATTCTTGTTCTCCTATCAAAGAGATCAGATACACAGAGATCAAATGGTAACCCAACAACCACAATTTATGTTACTCCGACTCTTCTTTTTTCTCTCTCGAAGAATCGGTGTCGGACATATTTTTGGACCCTCCAAAGACATGAACAAACTTGAGGGGAGATTGAACATACCCATATCGGGTACTAACACTCGAGTCTGAATAAAATAGGTCCAATTGATATAAAAAAAATCAGCAACAACAGAAAACTAACCTTTGCCCATTCCAATATCAAATCATCTCCATATTCTCTTTCATTATTCCAGAAAAGGTTATCATCCTCATCATTATTATCCTCTGGTGTCAGGCTTCTAGCTGGACTGCCAAAGATAACCATATATTACTGAAATTGTGATGGGAAAAAAATGGAAAAGATCCACAAGAAAGTGAGAAAAGTAAGGGGAAAAAACTAAAGTCTAAAAAATAAAGATGTAAGAATCTCTTCCAGTTGTAATAAAAGATTTCTCTTTCATCTTTTGTAATGCAAGCTTCTTTATTGAGGAATATTAGAATGCAAACTTAAACAAATCACATAGTTAATCATAATTCACCACCTGAATACCGATTGACAAGAAGGACAACTCCTCGAGCTGACAACTGATCCAATATCAGAAAAAAATTGTCCATTTTCGTGGTTGCCACTTATTCTTTCTGAAGCATTGCTACGATTTTCCGAGGCTTCGGATACATTGTCATCAATATAGAGGACACTTTCTGAAGCCTCACTCGCTGTTACACTTTCAGATGAAAGTGGTGAACCTATCTTTAATGAAGCAGATGAAACCTCATCATTGACAGAAGTGTCACCAAGAATGACTTTACTGTTAGCAGGCATAGCAGAAGCCATCCAATCATTAAAATACTTGCTATAGGGAGTGTCAGTGATGGTGTTATCGTTTGTTTGGTCATATTGTTTCAGGACGGTTGGTGAATTATCATCGAGAGATGGATTCATTTCGCTAACAACTTCGGTTAATCGATTTAGGCGCACCTGTGCAATGATACTGCATGCAAGTAAGATATTGAGAATTTGGTTATCAGCAAAATTTTAGTAGTAGTTAACATATATCCCTCAAATTTTGGCAATAAAATATTCTCAAAGGTCATGGGGGAAAACATATTAACTTTAACCTGTTCAACATCTCATAGTGCAACTCAAAGAAAGGCACTCTAGTTAGCAAACAATAACAGCGAGGTGCAGAAACCAGAAAGTGCCTGCTTGCTCCTGAAATTTCAGAAATACGAGATGGACCACCTAAATTACCAGGCTGTCGTTTTACAAGTTCTGATACATGCAAGCAAACACCATAAACCGTTTCATTTCCTGCCACCTAATCAAGAGAGCATAAAATGTTTCAAAATCCATATAAGTTCCTGTTTCTCAAACAAAGAAGTGAAAACAGAACCGGAAAATTCTTATATGTCATTATGGGATTCACCTGTTCTCATTATTATGAACACTTCAAACAAAGAGTCACACAGAAGTGGTAGTGTACTGACGACCGGTGATTTCAGTGTCCAGAATAACATTTTTTTCCTTTTAGGATTCAGGTTAAATGTGTTGTTTGGAAATGATAAATATAAACAAAAGCAAGACTTCAGAAGTATGTCTCCTACTTATTGTCATAGGGATGGACGGCAGAATTTTATGTTTGGAGGTGAACTTCTAAAATTTTAAAAAGGGATGAACTTATCCAATTCTGGGGGCGAAAACATATTTTCAATAGAAAATATATAGAAATTTTTTAAAATATATGGTATTTTTAAATTTTTAGGGAGGCGACTCCCCCAACTGAGGTCCATCCTTGCTTATTGATATTACTCCTCATGTTACCAGAAAAGTTACTTGTACAATTAAAGGGGACCGAGCTCACAGTTTCAACTCTGCTCTGCATCATAGCCATACAATTAAAGGGGATCGACCCCATCAACAGTAACTTCAATGTGATATTAACATGGTGCAAGTTACTGCTCCTAAATGCCCTCTTTCTTGCCCTCGACCACATAATAGAAATGAACACCATTCACTATGCTATCCCTTGTCAAGTCAGTCAATGTACCATGAAGGGATCCAGTTCGACACAATGAAATCAATGGAAGCATTTCAAGGTTACAACAACATATATTTAAGAGAAAAAGAAAAAAAGAAAAAAAGAAGCATACCTTTAGAGAGAAAATAAACGCGAAATCATCTCTCCCCAAATGCACCTGTGGAGAATATAGAACAGTAAAAAGTTACTTTTTTCTTCAAGTCAACAGTACAACATGAGAAAAAAATTCATGACTCAAAACCAGATATACTTTTGACTTCACATAGGGACAAGTAGTTGGAATAACTGCCATTTATATATATATATATATATATAAAGATCATAGTTAAGATTCCTTTAAATTGAATCGTAGTTAATTGATAATGAGTTGGTTAACCCAAAACTCTACCTCATTTCCTATCTAGTTGGAGCATCAATCTTTGGACACAGGTAAACAAAAGATAAAGCAAGTAAATTTATAATTTAGAGATGCATTATAAGAATCTGTTTAACACAGGGGAGAGACATTTATTTGATATACCTGTCCATAAAGAAGCTCATTTAGCTCACTAAATGATGGAGTTCTTTCCAGTACTCGTGCCTAAATTCATTGAAAAATAATTGTTATGATTAGGTCCATTTATTTTAATACCTGGAAAAGGACAATAAATGTAATGCAATGACAGAAGACACAAGAAATAATCAAAATCCTTAATTTGGGCTGGAAGACTATAACTTATTTTTACAACTTTAAATAGCAGAAAAACATTTTGACAAAAGATTATACACACACACATATATATATGCACCTGACAAAAGGAAAGGTGCTTCTTGTAGTATATTTATAAGGTCAAATGCAATCACAATAAATGATTTCTACTGTGCTAAAAAGGGCCCATGAAACTATTCTCATATATAAAGCTAAGTGGCTAACAGATGAGAGACTTCAAGTAGATCACACAAAATATGCTCACATGTTGACCAAGTTACTTTAGTTATTTTTTCATAAACTAAAAATTACAGTGTCATAGAAACCCCAAACATCAACGAACCAAATCCATTTCCCACCTAAAATAGGTTAAATATCAGAGTGGTAAAGTGACTTTTAAATGCAGTGTGTGGACAAACAAAATGAAATACTGAGAAATTAAACTAATAAAGTTCACACCAAGTTGAAGAATTGATATTATAGTAGACAGTATCGCCAAAAAAAGTAGTGAGAACAAACCTTAACACCTGCAGGAAAACAAAAGGTGGCTAAGTCCTTCAAACGCATAGCTAACCTCTTCCCAGGAGGGTATCTAAAAAGTATCTAATAATAGGGGGGAAAGGAAAGGGAAGACAAATAATGATTTTAGTGCATATGAAAAGAAATTAAACACAAAATGAATTCAATCAAAGTAAAATAGTCCCTAAAATGGTTCAAGGGAAAAGCTTGAAAGAAAATACACAATGCAAACTAATTTCTTGCTTCTGCAATGGCATTGCCCTTATTTGCAAGGAGACACTAATCTCCATAAGGTACTGCAAACTTAATTAAGGAGAAATTTAACATACTGTAAAAAATATAAAAGAGTTTCCTCGTATTTAATTGTTTGGTAAACCTGGGGTTCAAATATTGGAACTGGAGGTCCATGAGTCTGTAGCATTTTAAGATCTATCATTCCAGATCTTTTCATATCTGCTTCCCACTTCTTCCTCTTAACAAAGGTTTCCTCCACAGACCCAAGATCAGTATCTGGATGAATTCCAGCAATAATGAAGTGCTCAAAGATTGAAGTGGGCAGCTCATATTTAAGCTTTTCCTGCAACAACATCCTCAAATTAGACTGTAAAACAAATAGAGATATATATATCAGTATCCCATCAGAATAACTTGCAGTCTTCCAGACTTCAACTAACTATTTTGTCTCAACATCTAAAATGTTTCAATTGATAACAGTCAGAAACTCAGAATCACTAATTTAAGGTATGCACTTCACTTCCTACGTTAAGGTATAGTAGATTATTATTTATTACAGAGTAGTATTTCAAGCATGAGAAAGAGAAAAATGTCCATCCAGTTTATGGCTATCAAACTTAAACCAATTACCAATAGTCTTTACCTGAATGTAAGGCCAAATAAAACCTTAAGGGACAACACCATTTAACAATAAGATGAGCAATGTCTTATGACTTTCTATATAACATCAATGTTTGACATATAAACCAAATGGTTATAGAAAGTCAATGCATGAGAATCCGAAAAAAATGGAATTAACGTGAGACTTGCCCACTGTGTAATGTAGGTACTGGTGCAGGTTATACTTATTCTTCAAGAACAAGTTATATTTAATCAGACAAATTTAAAGCTGCAATCAATGCATACACTAACTAACTGGTTACACAAAACCTGGGAAAATGAACAGAATAGAAAATAAAGAAGATGAAGAGGTGGGTCCAGATACCACAGTTTTGGAGTGGAGTTGATACCACTGGCGTTTCTGGTTTGCTATAACCTCGGGATTGAAGCTTGAGTGGTACTTTCCGTCCTTTGAATTGCCACCCACTCGCAAAGCTTTTTGCGCATAAGTTTTCAATCTCAGGAAACAATTGTCACGCCGGTGTCCAGTAGCTACAACTTCACTCTGACTGCGCCTATGCCCCAACGGCGGAAGCCTTGAACAACCCGAGCTCCCTGACTGCTCGGATTTTTGTGCCTCTCCATCCACTTTGTCTTTGACATCCTCCTTTTCCTCCTCAGAAAGATTGTTCAATTTCCAAGAGGGTGATGGTGAATTGTCTTCATTCCCTTCAGCTTCTTCCTTGCCTTCCATGTCTGAACACTTAATTATTTGCATTTGCTCATTGAGTCATTTCACAAAATAAATACAAATCCCTCCTCCGTTAAATTGTTATCCATGTCCAATATAAAATCAAGTTCATGCCTTATTCTTCTGAAATTATACCAATATATGAAATGGATACCTTTTCAGTTCCTCTTGATCCTTAAATTCTGTAACCTTCCAATATATATTCTTCTAAAATCCAGTACAAAAGTGGCCTCCTTTACATAAAGTTTACAAATTTCAATGCCCACTCCTGGGCTGTATGATTCAGACACAACAACACCCTGTTTGCAGAAAAAAAATTATTGCAAAACTGTAAAAACCAAAAATGAAAATGCCAAACCAAAAACTTATAAATTCACAAAAACTCTATATTCTTCAAATTTCACTATGTAAAAATCAACACAGAACCTTATTGTAAAGGAAAACATGGGATGAAATCCGAATTATGGAAAAAATAATAAATAAGCAAAAAACAGAAAATTTAATAGGACGAGCAACGAGAGAGATTCTCTCTCACCTGAAAATTTACCTTCTTTTTCCGTTTGGATCTGTTTAGCAGAGTTTTGGTTCCTTCAAGCAAGAGAGAGAAAGAAAACAATGCCAAAAATAGGAGTTATAAATACAAAGAGAAGGAGAGGTTGCACATAAGAAAAGGAGATTAAGCGAACTCTAGTCTTCTCGTTTCTTGGAAATTAAAAAAAAAATATAACTAAATAATGAAGATGGCGTTATATATAGGGAAGTAAACATCAAATACTAAGTTCTTTTTGCTGTGAAAAAAATTTGCCTTTTGGTTGGTTGGTTCAAGCTTTAGAGTTTCTTGTCATCCAATTCCTATCTCCTATGGCTGTTTCATGAAGGGAACGTAAAAATGGTAAACTAAAACAAAAATACAGAAACCCTTTTTTAAGAGAAAAACAATTCAAGTCATTGAAGGAAAATGAATGACTCGTAAAGAGACTCAATTCAAGGCATTGGCATGGGTTTTTTTTAAAAGTTTGTTTAATCTTAATGCATCAAATAAAGGAGAAACATTAACTTGCATGAACGAGAAAGTATAGTGTTTTTTTTTTCCTGAGGAAATTCAACCTGCATGTGGCGCATGCAGTGGTGCCAAAAACGCTGTCTAAACCAACAACGCCAAAAAAAAACCACATTTTCCTCCTACTTTTTTTTAAATGCATTGATCATTGCCTCACTGGACTTCACAGTTCTCGTCTTGCTCTCAGATTTTCACACTTCAGAGTTGAGAGCTCTGCATTTATGGCGCCGATGATGATTGATGAGTGATGCTGCTATGCGGTACGATCTCACTTTCCCTATTAGGAGCGTTCTTCTCACGTACCATCTTCTACTTGAAAATATATTAACTATTTATTTATTATTTTCACTGTTAATGACCATGAAATGAGAGGGTCTCAAACTAGAAGGCGCGTGCTTTGAACTCCCATTGAAGTGGTGAGAGATATGAAACGAACATGAAAGTTAGAAGTTTGGATAAATCCTAAGAAATCGCACATTCTAATTGCCGTCAATTTTTCTCATTTTAAAAAAATGATGATTTTAGTCTCTTTATAAAATTTAAAGTTATTGTTTATTTATTTTTATATTTTAATTTAATTATTCACTTTATAATTAGAGATGACAAACGGGCGGGTCAGGTGCGGATACCCTTCTCCCATCTCCATACCCACCTACTATTTTTCAATCCACCACCCATGATGGGTACAAATTTTCAAATCCACACCCACTCACGCGGGTACATTTTCAAATCCATCCCCACACCCACTACCCACTAGCGACATACCCATCTAGACCCGCCTGACAACAAACTAATGAGATGTTGGAGTTGGTTTGCAGACAGTTCGTGATGGGGTAGCAGCGCATGCTTCAATTTGTCAGAGGAGTGGCTTTACGAATGTTATGGAGACATATTGTAGGGAGCATGTAGTCGCAGAGTTGGATTGTTGTGTTGCTTTCGATGTTAATGCTCATAGTGCGCCTAATATGGGTTTTGATGGGCTAAAGAACATAGAAACTGCTGCTTTTGATGTTAATGCTTATAGTACGGCTAACTTGTGTTTGGATGAGCAGCATGGGCTAAAGAACATGGAAAGTGACGTGGTTAGTGGGATTATGAGTTTAATCAAAGAGACGAATATTTCCCTAATTAAATACCAGATTAAAGACTAAATATCCTTAATATTTAGTTAAATTATATGTTATATATATAATATTAAAATTTATAAATTAGTCTCTAAAATTACACCTAAATTCATAATGATCCAAAATTTAATAGATATTTAGCTGGGCGGGCGGATGCGGGGTGGGTAATGTCTCAAACCCATTACCCGCCCACCACCCACGACGGGTACCACTTTATAAATCCACACCCGCCCACTACCCGCTAAAATTATACCCATCCCCGCTCCATTTGGAGCGGATGCGATGCGGAATCCACGAAACTGTACCCGTTTGCCATCCCTATTTATAATATTATTAACTAATTTAAATAATTATTATTGTTAATTTCGGTAAAGAAAAATACTGATATGAATTTTTCTTCGAGTTATGTTTTATTTTAAATAATTATTGATATTAACTATTTAAATTAATTAATGATATTATAAAGAATATATTAAATTACAATATTTAGATTAAGTTTCAAATTAAAACATATTAACTAAATGTGAATATTTAGTGAATTATACATCTAAAATATCTTTCAATAACTTTTGATTCAGATGATAATACTAAGATTTAATACTGATTAAAAAATATTTTTTTAATGTTTAAAAAATCTTTTTTTCAAGATGGCACTTCGAGGTAAGAGCCCTGGTAATCGCGCGATTACAGTTTAAAGATGGTGCGATAACCTAAAGACTAAATCTCGATTTAAAGACGCTATTGACCGTGACCACAATATAAACACATATTAGAATATTTTGGCAAATCGCTTTTTCGAGCAAAGTTCGATCTCCCTTCCCCGAACTTCATAGTCGCTCAGTAAACTTCAGAGAGGTTGTTTGAGCATCAGAGCTATTTAAGTTAACCCATGTCCAGAGACATATTCACTGATCATCTCTCAATCGGCTTTGGTTCCGAATTCTACGGCAGTTATAATCTGATATACTCGTAACAGCATGGCGCCGAAGAAGATTGATCAGGTGGGCTCGAAGCCACAAACGGAGAAGAAATTGAGAGTTAGGGTCGAGGACAGGCGAGTGAAAGCTGAGATGGGAAAGGTAAAGGAAGAACAAGGATGCTTAAGAGATGAGCAGAGGAAATTAGTGACCAAGTTCAATGAGATCGCGACGCAATGCGATGAACTGAAAGAAGAGACTGAAATGATCGTGAAGGAATCGGCCATCACTCGAGCCAAGCTCCTTCTTATGTACGGAATCTTAAAGGCACGTGAGAGTGGAGATTTGGTTCAAGCTGATATTCTCACTCGTTTCCTTCCGTTTGTTTCTGCAAAAACCTTGTTATATATCATCTCTTGAAAATTTTCTTTTGTTTTTAACTTCGATTGCTGCATTTAATTTGCAGTGACATTGTTGCCATGGAAAAAGCCAATGCAGTCTTGGACGAAGCCAAAGATGAAGATGATCCATAGGTTATACACCACTACAGCAAATTAGGTTTTTAGCTGCTTTTTTAGTCATATTATTATTTTTAAGCGCAGCTAAAAAACCTTCTGGCGCAAAAACAAATGCCAAAAAAAGTGCCGCTAAAGGTAATGCTATTTAGTGACGTTTTTTACAATAGCCGCTAAAGGTTATGATCTTTAGTAGCGTTTGTTCCCAAAATGCAGCTAAATATTCTGACATCTAGTGGCGTTTTTGAATATAAAACGCCGCTATTGACTATGTATATAGTGGTGTTGCCTATATAAGCGCCGCAAAAGACTTGAACTTTAGTGGTGTTTTGATTTACAAACGCCGGTATTGACTATGTATTTAGTGACGTTTTATTATATAAACGTCGCTAATTAAAACTGATTTTTATCTTAAAATGCCGCTAAACCAACCTGATTTGCAAATGTTTTTTTATGCTATTTATTACCCAAATTTAATATAATATAGCAATATCAATAACATCCACCTTTAAATTTAATTACGACTCGGATTAAGTAATAATTGACATAAATAAATCAAAGTTTACAAACATTAAAGTGAAATGTAATGTACTTCAACATCATTAACTAGAAAGTAGTGTGAGAAAATTAAAAAAAAAATTACATTTACAAGATTAATTGCAGTGCTTTCTCTTTTCAACTCCTCCTCGATAGAGTTATATCATAGATAATCGTACCCACGAGATCAAAAGTTCCAGGTTGCATAAAAATTTTAGACGTGTAAGTTTCACTGCAAGATTACTTATCATTGAAATAATTTATATACAGTAAAATGGGAGATTCAGAAGATTCCAACATGAATGAATTATTCTCATGAAGAACAGGACTATTTTGCATATGTGAATCAAGAACTGATAATGATAAGCAGTTAGATGCTGTCACTCCCAAAAAGTTTGTTTCATTCCCCCTTGCCTGAAAAGCCTGATGCACTTGTATATACATATTTGCAATTGATGATTGATTTTGCAATTGATTTATGGCAATTTCAGACCTCATACTAGATTGCGTGAAGTTCAGGCCATGCTGCAGGCTTAAAGTCTGACCACTATGCCCTCTGTCAAACTCAGCTAATCCCAAAAGAAAATATAATTATGCCAAGATTGGTTTAGGAGCATGTCACAACAATGCACTAAAACTGCATCAATATAAGCTTTATAACAGTAATAGAAACCAAACAAACAAGACGCCTTACCTAATTGATTTACACTGAAATTCTTCATTGAAAACAGGGTGTCCAACTTGTCTCTGGCTTCCAACACATAGATTGACAAGCTGTGAGTGATGTTGGCCCAAGGATAAGCTCTCTTGGCCATGGAAATTATGGATTCTGTCACCAACTTCGTTTTTA